GAAAAAAAGAAAAGAAAAAACATTTCACTTTTATGAGAGCTCCTCCTTGAATTAAAACCTTTTTTTTTCTAATATTGATGTCAGTGGGAGCATCATAAACACTCGAACCTGATCCAATTCGATTAAATGATGTTGAAATATTGAATCCAACCCTACCCATCTCATATATAGTACATCTATACTTAACCAAACTTATATATTATATACATATATTTTAGTATTATGATGTCAACGTGTCAGATTTGTCATAAATTCATCTAAATCCAAACTCAACTCGAAACCCTATTGAGGCTGACCCAAACTTAATCCCCAATCAAGTCGGGTCAATGTAGATGTGTTACTTAATCCGACCCATGGACATCCTACTTCTCAGAGGCTGAGACATTTATCCTTCCTAAAATTGTCCAACAACCCAATAAAAACTAAAAAGTTCCTGGGCCCTTTTAGAAAGGAGGGTAGCCACCAACACACAAACCTATAAGCCTAGAAAGCTCTCTTTGTTCATTAGTGTAATGGGGAACCAAGATTGAGTGAGCAATTCGGCTATCTTTCCTAAGTGGGTCAGAAAATATAATATTTGAAAAAAATATAACCGACTAAGAATCTCATAACAAGGCTATTTCTTCGAGGCATCCAGCTTTAGAGTACAAGGCCCAATAGAGAAATAAAAAACTAATTTCACTTTGGCATAAATTAAAAAGAAAAGAATGGTTTTCATCTTATTATATTAAAAAATAATTTTTAAATAAAATAAAACAAGAGGATGGAAATAAGGTAAAGAGTATCAATACATACGTTAGCAATTGCGACTTAGGTCGACCTCAATCCCTAACTTTTCAGAAAGGAAGGAATTTACTTTTGATCTCTTCCTTTACAAATTTTGTCCATTCGGAGGAAAAAAAAAATATGAGAAGCAGGCTTGTTTAGTCCTGGTCGGTCGAGCAGGAAAAAGGTGGTCAGGACGAGTTGGTTTCTATACGTTGCCAGCAGAATAAAAGGAATTTTCTCAGGTCCCAGCTGTACGTCATCAAATCCGATGTACTCGTATTGTCTTTATGTGATAGGTATAAGATACGGAGATCGGTTTATTTGTGGGGGAGAGATCCTTAAGCGGTGTTTGGTAATCACGTGGAATAAAATCATTTTGTCTTGATTTCACACGCAAAGTTCATTAGTTTAAGGAGTTTAGAATGGAGTAATCACATGGAAAACAATTAAAAAATAAATAAAAAGAAAACTACTGCAGAATTTGTCCTTTTGCAGTAATTTTCAAATGATATTCATAATCGATTTCAACCCCGCCATAGTTCAAAAATTAATGTGTTATTATTGAATTTATTACTGCTGTGCTGTTATTGTTGCTGTTGTTATGGTATTATTTTAATTCAGTTTAGGCTGAAATAGGATTTTTTTAAGTCTTAATAATAGGTGAAATTCATTCTGATGAAGCATAGGCAATAAAAAAAGTGAAAAAAAAACTCCAGAAAAATAGATCAAATTTGTCGAGAGATAATGAAGTATCCATGAACATCGGGAGAAAATATCTTGAGAAAACATCTACAAACAGTCCAAAAATTTCCAAACACTGTAAAAGAAGGGTAATTGTGAATTTGCATCGACACCTCACAGAACGCACCCCATAACACATCCCAACTATGTATTGAGAACATCTCACCATAACAAGTATGGGAGATGTTCTCAATTAATTCTCCTTGAGATATGCATGTGGGGCGTCAATCTGACCTCGATAATTGTGACTAATTCATTGAAAATGACTCCCTCACCAACATACCAAGAAGCCACACCAAAAACTTCAAAATAAAGTGGAGTTTGGAGATACCATGTCACCAAGAATGGAATATTAATTGTCCAATTAAAAAAAAAAAAGAGGATTAGGTGAGGGGTTAATTGACAGGTTTATATCTTGGTTCTAGCTAATCCAATGCACTAAATATCAATATATATGTATGTATGTATGTATTGGAGGTGCGCGAGTGTCCAAAATTTACGAATTTTGGTTACAGGGGTTTTCTCAAATAAATCTGACACAAGTTGCACCTCTAACATGTATATGTGTATAATGTGTGTTTAAGAGGGTTTAATAAACTATTGATTACAGTGGGATGTGATTAACATAAAGCCCAATTAGGTATCCCTTCTTTATCATCTAAAGTTGGATGATGTAAATGCCATTTGTGTATCTTGTTGGTAGAATAACATTGGATTTCTTTGTTTTGTGATGGCCCTTAGTTGCTAGGTGTGGTCTCTATCAAGTTTGGCCTACCTCTCAGAGCTAAGAATCTTGTATCTTTTTTCTCTATAATATTTCACATTTTTTGTGAATGCGAGGAAAAGAGTAAATAAAATAATAAATAGTAAATATGCATTTTTTTGGTAAAAAAATATAATTAAGACTTTAGAGAATACCAAGAGAAGACAATAGTTGGAACAAGGATTGGTCAGTGTGGAAGGATATAGGAGAGCTAATGAGAAGACAATAGATGCCATTCTACTACTGTCTGGTAGCGACAGAGGCCAGGGATTTAAACATGCACATGCTTTTTCTTTTAAGGATGTGTTTGGTTTGAAATAAAAAGGTAGGGAAAGGAAGGAAAATTCGTATAAATCCTTTTATAGGTTTCCTTACTTTTTTTTTTTCAGAAAAGTACAGACAGACCCATTGCAGATTTCTGAATTCCATTGCACACCTATAAACATTCAAAATGTCCAATATCCCCACTCTATACACTAATGCCTGCTTGTGAATTGGCATCAATTCCGATCTGACACCTACCCCAACTGTACTTTGAACCTAAAAATTCTGACCCTGGGCTGAACCGTCATTCTCATTTTTTTTTTCAAACCAAATACAACCTGAAGGAGAGGTTTTCTATTCTTCATTTTCTTCTAAATAAAGAAAAATTTTATCCCATTTTTATAGAAAAAAAACCATTAAAATCATTATTGTTAATTAGAACAAGTTTTATTGACAAATTAATTCTTTAAGCTCAGTTTGGAAGAAGTACAAATACATACAAAATACAAGGTTTTGCAGTCTACATATTTATATCTGCATTCCTCTAAACTGAGCGTTGGGCTGTATTTGGTTGCAATGCAATCTTATCTGCACTAGTACAAATGTATCGGAGTGCAAATGAAAAGAATGCAAATTCTGGTATAATTTTATTTCGGGTTTTACTTGATTTTGTTTCAGGTCTTATGTTATTTCATTTGTATTGCAATCAAATAAAATAAGGTAAATTTTGAAATAAAAATAAATCAAAATTTGCACTCAAATCATTTGTACTATCTTAAATTTGTATCAGTAAAAATTTATTTACATTGCAACCAAACACAGCCTTATGATTTTTTGTTTTGTTTTGACATCAGAATGGTAGGTGACACAGTTCTATTAGCTGTATCTGACATTAGTTTAGTTTGGACCGAATATCACAGTTATATTGTCCTCTAACAGGTTATATTTTTGTGTCCATGAAAGATATTAGAGAGTGAAGTCTTGGGTCACATTCAGTAAAACATGTTAGAAGCTGATCAATACATTTTATTTCTAACAATATTTGCAAAATAGGGCTCTCATTTGTATCATTTTCTTGTTTTATATTATAAGATTAGATATTATTTTTTGCAATTCAAATTTTCTCAACATCAAAAGGTCTAGTACATTAATTGCCCATATGAATCCAACTACACATTAAAAAATATTTGCGACATATTAAAGACATCACATGGTCTAATTTTTATTGGTTCTCGTTTTTATTTTCATATTTGAAAAGGTGTACTTACATGAAGACTTTAATAAGGTCATTGCATTTCATGCATCATAAAATTTACCCAACAAATATCTTCAAATTTCAAAATTATATTATGTAAACAATTTTATGAAAAATATAAAACCTATAACTTCAACCATTGAACATATAAAAAATAAATGTAATAGATATATTAATGCATTTCAAAGAATTATGAACAATCATAATTAATTTGTAGATATCTTATTTAACCTTAAGTTGAAGAGGCTAAAAGAGCTAGAAATAAACCAAAAAGGACTTGAGTGGAAGCGATAAAAAATGATCTAGAGCTGCATTTGGCATTCCTTATTTTAAGGACTATCTCCTTTTTATAGTTAAAATGCCCCTATAAACACTTGATTTTTAATTGCAAAAAGGAGGTAAGTTCCTTTTTGCAAACAGATGAATCTTCATACTTGCATACAGATGAAGCTGAGCACCTATCAGATCAAAGCCTCTTCTCCATTGGTTCCAGATCTACATTGCTCCATTCATCTCTCTGAGAAATGAACCGATCAGAGATTTCCCCACCACTCACTTCAGACCTTCCATCAAGGAATTCAGATTCTGAGAAATGCTCTTCCAATTCCAATCTTCATGCCCCAAGAGAACTCAAGTGGGAGACCCAATTGAAAAAAAAAAGTCACTCTTGGAAGGTATTTGCTTCTGACAGTCTTCAGTTTTCTTAATTTATATTTATTTTAATTAATCTTAAACCCTACTTATTAAAATATCTCACCAATACATCTTGGGCCGTCTAGGTGCTCCCATGGTTTCTTCTGCACGGTTTGCAGGTTCAAACTCAAAGTGATGGGCTGATGGCACACACCTCGATTATCACCACTCCCACTGTCCCACAGTGTCTCATGTGTTCGGATTCGGATCCCCTTCAATCGGGTCGGATCAACATCTCTACACGGACGGTAACCACATACCTAAACCAGATTACGTAAGGGCAAAGTGGTAAAATTGAGAAAAATGGATGTCAATTTCCGACCGGAAAAAAGGGTTTGGTCTGATTCGAGAAAGAAACGTATACTGCATACATGTATATAGCATGAGCTCTTGTTTAATGATTAATCTAATAATCTGATCTGGATTACGCTTATTGAGTTGGCTTGCCACGTGTTTCCATCTGGTAAACCAGAGCTCACTATAAATATGCCTTTCCGAAGGCGCCAGAATCTCGAGCATCGCTCTCTGGCTCTCGTTCTGGAAGTCGAAGGTGTGGACGCACGGAGCCATGGAGGGAGGGTTGGATAGGGTTTCTGGCCTTGTTTTCAAATTGGAGAGCGCCAACAAGCATGGAGGTGAGCCTCGGCCTTGGCGCTTCTCCCTCTGTCTCTCTGTTGTTCACACTTTCGATCTCGAGCTTCAGTCTTCGGCCTCTCCGTTCTGCAGTTAGATCTCTCTACTTAGACGCTTAGATCTTCCGTATGGGAGGATTTTGTTGAGAGGTTTCGCGGATTCTGCTGTGGTTATTTATCACTGTCGTCTCTAATTCGCTTGGTGCAGGTCGGGAATGCTTCGCTCTGTAGCTGCCGTCTCCTTCCTCTCGCAAGATTCCATTTCTTTACGGGCGAACGGATTCCCGCCTTGCATCAACTGAATCGGAGATGGCTGTGAAGTTGGCGGTGGATTGGTGCTTCCGGCGTCGCCGATGGTCAGATCTTGGATTCGATTTGAATGGCTTTCTGGTATTGATCTTCTGGAATTCGTCTTTTTTATTTGATCTGACCTGTTTCTTATTTGCTTTTCTTTTCCGAATTCATTGATTGGGATCTAGCTGATTAGGCTTAGGGCTTGGATAGTATTTGGTTTGTCGATGGAATTTGGTACTGCCTTCTTTCAATTCTCATTGTGGAGATGGATTTGGTGCTCCGAATTAGTAGTTTTATCTGCATTTGCTTGCGAAATGGTAATACGAGTCTGTGGCATGTAGATCTTGGTTTTATTTGAGTATGTATTTTCGTCCAGTTTGTGTTGAGCTTAGAGTAAGTTGTTGTTTTTTTTTTTCTCTACTCCAAAGTTGAATCCTTTCTTCTGTCTAAAAAAAGTTCCCTGGATTCTGGCACGTGCACAAATCGACTTCTGGTTCATAGCTTCTAGTTTGTGTTTTGTGATTTTTTTCCAGTTAGGTGTATCTTAACTTGCTGAAGAGAAGAAATGTCCCTCGCTTTGGAAAAAAAGAAGTGAGACAAGAGGTACAACAGCATAGTCTTACTATTCCGAACGGTCTAAAACCAATACCTTGTGACATATTGGCCCCGGGTTTTTTGTGTTTTGTTTTGGTGATTCTATCTGCAACTTTGGATCTTTGGCTTTCTTCCTTTGTCTTACAGTGGGTTTCTATTGTTAATTTGTTCCATGGGATCATTCTGTTTCTCTGTATTTATTTTGCAGTGAGGATTCTATTTTTTGCCAAACTGCTTCATAGCTCGTATGAGTTTAATAAGTTTGGCTTTGAAAGTACTTCATATTGTTGATTTGTTCCGTGACTTTCTGCATGTTCTTTTGATCTATTTTTATGCTGTTCCTGTTAATATTCTATTTTCTTTGCATCTATCTCTGGAATTGGAGATGAACGTTGTACATTTCTGCAAACCGGAGATTTTTAAAGGTCCAATAAATTCATATTTTGTTTAAGGATTGCTTATCATGCGTGGGTTTAATTATACCAGTGGTTCCCTTTCTCAATTTTATTGTTGTCTTTTTGCCCTTTTTAGCTACCATTTGTCTCTATTTTTTGTGTTCATTATATTGTACGTTTCCTATCTTAATAATGCATTCTGTTGTATCAGATTGTAGTTATCTCTGTATTCATGTTAGTAATGTAGAGTTGTAGATTAGGTTACGACAAATTCTATGATTTTCTGAGGTTTCACTGACTTTTTTTTGAGTAATGTTTGTTGTTTTGAAAACTCAAACTGAAAATAGTTAAGTAATAAAATATTTGAGGATATAGAAATCAACCCAACTTCAGCTTATAGCTTCTTCAATAACTTGTTCACTAAAAAACAAAGTAACATGTTATTCAGTTCAGCTACTTTGACTGTTTCCAAACGGTTTCTAAGATTCCTTAGAGCCCTTGTTATGATGAAGCATGATTTCTTTTATATTAGTGATTTTCAGCAATGCCTATAATTAAATAATCATGGTGTAGTTACAATTTTACATCCACTTTAACGCATTTGCCATCCTTTTAGGCTGCGTTTGTTTGTTGTGTAAATACAAAACTACACCGATGTAGTTTTAACAATGGTTAGATTTTTGAGTGTAAAAAGCAAACCGGCTTTATACTCATTTTACACTCTTGTGTGTTTGGACGATTGATGTAAAAGGTAGCATCGCTTAAGCCTTCGATTGCTCATTCCCTCCTATTTTTTCCACTCCAACATTGAGCATGATCTTCAAAATCCCAAGTTGCAGTTGGGATTAAATGCTTTCGTTTTCATTATAGAACAAGAACCCCTATTTTTCTATGATGAATCGTTGATGAATGATGAATAGGTGTTAAATATTTGCAAGAAAGTAAAAGGGAAACTTCATACGATTTCTAGTCAAAACCTAGCCATGGAAAATCAATTTGGAAATGAAATCTGTCTTTGGTATCAAAATCTGCAGCATCCATGACAAGAACTTCTTTGCCACAACTGCCCCTCTCCGGCTCTCTCTTTGGAGGTGGGTTCAGATCTGCCTTCGGAAGGGAAGGTCTTCACCGCTCACCAGGACTCTAAGATCTGAGTCTGGCAGCTAACCCCGACCAAAGGACATCAGCTTGTGGCGATGCTTCCCACCATCAAGGACTGTGTCCGCCGTTTCGTTCTACTGAAGAATTACGTTCACGTCAGACGTCACAAGAAACAGCTATGGATTGAACATACTGGTGCGGTCTCTGGCCTCGCCGATTCCGCTTCCTGGGACAAGTGCTTGAAAGTATGGCAGGCGTTGGAGTGTATGAAGATGCCATAAACGCCGGTGCTGTTTCTGTCGACAGAATCATTTATACACGGCTGGAGCGGATAGACACATTAGGGTATGGGGAAGAACCTCAGGAGAGAGACGGAGAAGAGTGAGCGAGAGAGGAGGAGAAGAGAGAGAGAGAGAGCGATGTAATAAATATAAAGTTTATCAAATGCATGCAAAATCGAATTATAGATGTAATTAAACAGCTTGGTGTAAAATTACATGTTTATCAAATGCATGCAAAATCGAATCAGAATATAAAGTTTATCTTGGTTCGATTTTACACCTTTACCAAATGCAGCCTTATGTATTCTACCTCCATACTTCTCTCCCTTGTTATAACATCAAGGAAGTGGTTCTTTGTCATTTTGTTTATGAATGCTTGGTGCCATCTGTGTCTTCATATTTTTTAGGAACTTCTTTAGGCTTCTGGCACAGATTACAAGCTGGTTCCTTTTCATTTATGAAAAAGGCAACAGTTGTTTGTGCATGGATGAGCATGTAGATGCTTTTATTTCTTCTGAGTGATGGATGATATGTGGAGAGGGACCATTGCTTGATGCAATAGCACAATCTTGTGCCAACAAACATGACAAAGTGGGTTTGAGACCGAGTGGCCAAAGGTGTATTGAACAGACATTGGGCAATGGCCCTATGAAAGGTGTATTGAACAGACGCTCTTTGTAATGTGCAAGAAATATCAAAAGTTAGTAAGGTTATTTGCTTCTAGTTCTTTTTTCCGTGCTACTAAAAGACATGCAATTGTTGTAATGAACAATTAGTGATCTGTGCAAGTGAGCAGTGCTTGAAGGTGAGGAGAGAGCCCTTGTTTAACCATTTGTTCGTTTCTTTAAAATAAAAGTTAGATAATAGGCATTATTGATATGAGTTCGAAACATCCCTCAGGACTGCAAATCCTACATCAGAGGTTTGTTTTAGAAAGAATCACCGTTCCAGTTATCGTTAACAAATGACATTTTTTCTCACTGGCTCTTTCTATATTCTTAGGGCCCATAAAATTAGATCCATCAAACCACCTGAAGGAGACGATGGGAATGGGCGTTGGTTGATTTAAATGGTGTTAAAATTCTCGTTGCCCGGAACACGTCAAACTATGTGCAAGTTATTATATTGTATTCGTGGATCAGATGCACATTACTTGCTCTTCATGTCTTCTTAGTGCTCATTTTGTTAGGTTTTATAGCCAGCTGAGGGTAACTGAATAATTATCGTTTTTGCTAACGAAATCTATGTATTGATAGACAAGACTTTGGAGTTTAGAGACTTGTCAAAAAAGGAGAGACTGTAAGAAAAGACTTCTTACTTTAATTTTTATTCTTTTTTTTTCTCTGTGGGCAAAATATAAGAGTTTAAAGTACTTGATGGGAAACTGTAGCCTTTTTTTTTGTGGAAATATGAGAACCTAAACATTATTTCTTTAGGTTAAACTTATTATTGTTATAGCATGTATGGAACACCATGAACTTGAGGTGTATTTGGCGACACGTATATGACAATGACAATTTTCGAATGTGATGAATTTTGTGTGTATATTTGAATTTCTCATTATTACTAATCAAATATATACAGAGCAAAGAATATTCAAAAAGCATCTGCATCTGAAGAATATGATCCACTAGAGATGTTCTAGAAGCAAAACAGTTCTGCTGCTTCTTTTTCCATGCCTAAACGACCGTCAGTCATTATGGGTCATCCCCACACAAGTTCTAGACATTTCTGAAGACAACGATTTTTATATTAATGGCACGGTTGTACTAAGGGTTACCCTTCTACTTGTTTACCGTTAGATGATATTGTCTAAATGGCTCTTTAGGTCTTAGGTTCCTTTGAATTGGGTGTTGGCCAACCACCTGAAGGATCGAACAATTTGGTACTGGGTAGTCAACTTAAATTAGTGGTTCTTGCTAATTGATTTCCTGAAACACATCAACCTTGTGGGAAGGTTCTCATTTGTCAAATCTTTTTGTCATTATTTGTCATATTAATGATTAGTTTAGGGAGTGGGCTTCAATCTCCTTTTTTATATACACTATACACTTGCCTAAGCTGAAACATGCTAGAAAGTTAGAAATAGACGTTACCAAGTATTGTCTGATAGGTTTTAATCACTATTGGGTTGAGGCCATAGCTTTAGTTAGGGGTTCTAGTTGGGCGGGTTGGGCTGGGTTTATGATCAATTTGGGCCTGATTTTAAAATTTGGGCTTAAGGCTCGAGTCTGAGGTGAAGTCTGATTTTTTCAATCTAAGCCTAACTTGCACTATAATTTGATGCACTCGAGTTGGGCTCAGGCCTGGGCTGGGCTTAGGTTGGTTAATCCACTCTAAAATTATATGTGTATATTGGGCTTGGGTCAGGCTCGGGCTGGGTTTGGGCTACCTAAGAATAAAAAGCCTAATTTCTTGTGCTTGAGCTCAGCCCGAGGACTAAAAATCCAAATCTTGTGTAAAATTTCGGGCTGGGCTGGTTTGGGTTCGGGTTGGGCCCGCCCAAATTGCACCCCTACTTTTTTTTAAGCCTGTAGGCATGCACCCCTACTTTTAGTAGGGTCTTTCGTATTGATGACAATAAACCAAAATCCAAAATGTTCTTCGTTTGAAGAAATATACTATTAACTTTTGAGTTGCAAATTTTGGGTTGCAGTAAATCTATTTTTAATCTACAAAGTGGTCCTAGGGAGAGAGCTTTTAAAAAGAAAGCTCCTATATGAAATTGGCTTCAGTCAGTGCAAGATCCATTCGAACAGCCTTTACAGCCTTGCATTGAAAACATCTCCGTATTTCTGTGTTTTATTTCATGGGGAGATATTCCCAATGCAAGGCTATAAAGGTTGTTGGAACGGACCTTGCACCGAATGAGTCCGTTTTCCTCTTATACTAGGAGTCAAAAACAGTAAAAAACTCTAAGTTGATCTGTGGTCACCCTAGGCTTGCCAAAAGACCAAGGCCAAACCTTACAGCTCAAAACAAGGTCTAAAAGTCCAAGCCAAATTAGGGGATGTTTGGTATGATTTCTGTTTATTTGGAAAATGTTTGTATTTGATTTATTTTTAAAACTGAGAAAAAAGGGGTTAATAAATGTTTTTGACAGTTAGGTGCCATTAGAGTTCATTAGGCACCACACAAGCAGAACAGTAAATAAACACCTTGGTGTTGGGGGAAATGTTAAAATGAAACTTCTCCTGACTTACACAAATTGAGATAAATGTTTATTCGATAAACAGGCTTATCAAAAAGCATTTTGGGGACAAATACCCACATGGCGATGGGCTGACACCATTTTTCAAATAAACGGATGCCATCAAACACCATTTTAATTGGGCACAGTTCAGCCAAATCTCTAACTCGATAATTTATAGGCCTGAAGGTAGAGCTGTCAAGTGTCGATGGAAATATGATAGCGAAAAACTTTGGCTCCTACTTGGTTGGAGGGTATACAATCTGCCCATTTGACCAAATTTTAGGCTGCATTTGGCATTCCTTATTTTAAGGACTTATCTCCTTTTTACAGTTAAAAATTCAGTGTTCATAGGGGCATTTTAACTGCAAAAAGGAGATGAGTCTTTAAAATAAGAAATGCCAAATTCTTCCTGGCCTAGAGTGTTATGACATTATTGGTTTGATCCAACCCAAGCTCTTTTCTTGGGTAATAGAAAATATTGTAGGTAATTTTTATTAATTTTAATAAGAATTTAAATGGATTTTAAATTCTACTAATTTTATTAACAACTTTAATCTTATTGTTAACAAAATTAATTTCATCACTTTAATTTGTATTAATTTTAATGGAATTTAAATGGATATTAAAATGTAGTTTTAAGTTAATTATTCTTTTGTATTTTTTTATTATTGTTAAACAAATTTGTATTAGTTTTAGATGAAGATCAAATTGCATTAAAATTAATAAAATAAATTTTAAAATCAATAAGTTTTTAATGCTTGCTATTATTTTAAAATTATTAAAATGACTTGACAAAACAATGGGCGGAACCAGGGGGACCCCCTTATGGTTCAGAAACTCCCCACTGAAAAAACAGCTTTCCATGTAAATTTTCTCCTCTCCCCACTCTCCATCTCAATGGTTGGCCCCCTATGGGCCCATCCATCATTTATGTTTTGGCCTCTCTTATAACAATTTCCTGGCTCCACCCATGATCCTCTCTACCAATGTTGAAAAATTTTCCACCTTTGCCTGGTAAAGAGCAACCGGGCTATGAATTACCTGCTAAATTACAAACATGCACCTGGTTGAAGTTTGAACACAATGGATGTATAAAGGGATGTTTGGTATCATTGTATCTTGGACAATGGCCACAGTTTAGAATTCCGTGAAGTAACTCTTGATTTTATGCATATTTTATATTATTAAATGGTGCTAGTTAATAATCACCATTTTCTTGTAATGAAAACGTTTTCATTACAAGAAATGTCAAAATTACATTTTCTTCAAAAAGTAATTTACAAAATCCATGGCATTTAGAAACAGCGAGAGAGCAAAATTTTTACATGGCACTGACATGGTGGAAATGCGTTAGAGAAGCAGCTTCTATGTCAAAGTAACAACCAATTTAAAACAACAATAAAAGGAAAAGGAAGAGGAGAGCTATATCTGTTTGTTTGGGTAGTTCTCTTTTTGGAGAAAATGAAGTCTACATTGGCATCTTTGATATTGTTTCTCAAATGGAACTTGGATGGAGCTTTTATTAGAATCAACAAAGACTTAACAATGGGCAAGTGCACAAATAAGTGATAATTTGAAAAAACAAGTATTGAGAGTATTACCTGGTGGAGGGAGAATACTAAGTCATCTTCATTCAATGACACGAAGAAGAAGAAGAAGATGGCTTGTTGACAATGCCATTGTGCTTGCTCCCCTTCACCTTGAATTTGTGATAGAATGCAGAATCCGGAGAATCCCACCAAGGCAAATCTAGTTCCATAGATGGTGATCCATCATCCATGAAAAAACAACTTGGGGATCTGTCTAAAGCACAAACTGTAAGGTTTGAGCAATGATTCTAGTGACGTTGGCTCATCACGGAAGACAAATCCTCCTCCACCACCACTACTGTATCGTTATAATCTATGGCAGTCGTTGCTGCTACGACCAGTTGATGCATGGTTGCATCAAATGCCAGGAGAGGCGGCACAAAGAAAAGAATTGCCTTGTCGTTGGATACTTGGAGCTTTAAATCCAAGTCCCCATTTGTGAGGGCTTTCACACAACGGCTTTTGGGATTGCAAGTTAGGCCCTACATGAAAAGCAAAAACCCGGAAAACCAAAAATGGGCTTTGCATAAGCGGAGAAATATACTTTCTGAGGAAGTTATTTTCGGTAACTTTCGAAAGTGGTTTAG